GAGGTTTAAAAGGAGGTGTGGGGTGGGGGAGGGGGGAGGTAGGAAAAAGTGGAGGACCTAGGTAAATACTAAAGCCCAATCCTTAACAAACTTTCCTTGTAAAACCTTCCTCACAAGGAGCGTTTACTCACCGGCAAAAATGTTCACAAGGTGAACCTCACATAGCTTCGTGCTTACCTTTCCAGGGACTCATGTCGCTTTTCTAGTCGTCTGTTTAACGTTCTAGAAACTTGTTGGCACAACTTAGTACAGTCGTTTTTAATCTCTGTTTTAGTCTCTGTGTACGAAGATTGACTCAGTGTTTGAGTTGTTGAGAAACTTCCCACACACACGAGCGGGTGTTTGCAGGCGCCTCGGGAAACAGCCAGTGGGATGTGAAAAAGTTCACTTTTCAACCAGAAAAAATTGTGAGGGAGCGTGGTGGAATCAGGCTCTCGTCAAAATAATCAAAGTGAAGAAACTTGCATTTTTCCGCAAGTTTATGAATTTTTATCGAATTTTTTTTTTTTTTTTGGCTCAACAACTTTCATGCCTATAAAAGTGCTCATTTCTGTTAAAAAATTTTCTGAAAAACGTTGATTGAAGGCACAAATGTAAATTTTCAGTTACCACGGACTCTTAAGCTAAGGAAATAACTAATCTTTGGTAGCCATTTTCTCTCTAATTTCACCTCTGAAAACAGTTGACCTCCACCACCTTCTTTCGCAAATATCTCGACTTTTTTTCAAGATAAATGAATATGTTTTTCATCAAAATACAGACAATTGAACAAGCTTTAAGATGATACCAATAACTCTGCATGCCCAAATATTGACGAGAGCCTGATTCCACCACGCTGCCTCACAATTGTGTGTCATCGAGGTGAAATCAAGCGCTCGTCATTTTGGGGGTATAATTATAGACCTAAGGCACTATCCCTAAGCGTTTTAATTCACCTTGTTCTTTAATGAAAAATGTACCAATACATCTAGAATAAAAGTTGGAGATATTCACAATTGATTGAGGCGGGGGTCACCTGGTGTCAGAGGCAAAATCAGCTAGGAAATGGCCGCCCAGGTTAGCACTGACATAAGGATAAGGGTGTCAAGGAAACCCTGAGAAATCATAATATCACAACTGAAAGAGCTGCAGAGCGGGCCTACTATTTTTTTAAAAACTGCGTCGCCCCTCGACGCTTAACGGGAAGGGAGGATGAAAAGATAAAGGTAAAAGTAAAAGTATTTCAGTCTTTCTGCAGGGATGTTGTGTCGGGTCCGAGACATGAGGATAGAAGCCAGCCTCTTACATGATCGAAATTGTGTCGATGGAGTTGAAAAACATTTACAAATTTTAAGGAAAAAAAAGAGTTTATTGTAGCGTTCCATCATTTATTTGTGAGGCAGCGTGGTGGAATCAGGCGCTCGTCAATTTTTGGGCATGTAGAGTTATTGGTATCATCTTAAAGCTTGTTCACTTGTCTTTATTTGGGGGGAAAAAATATCCTTTTATCTTGAATACGAGTCGAGATATTTGCGAAATAATGCGGTGGGGGTCAACTTTTTTCAGAGGTAAAATTAGTAAGAAAATAGATGCCAAAGATTAGTTATTTCCTTAGCTTAAGAGGTAACTGAAAATTTACATTTTTTGTGCCTTTAATCAACGTTTTTCAGAAAAATTCACACAGAAATGAGTTCTTTAATGGGCATGAAAGGAGTTTCGTCAAAAAACAAACATTTAATAAAAATTCACAAACCTGCGGAAAAATGCAAATTTCTTCACTTTGATTATTTTGACGAGAGCCTGATTCCACCACGCTGCCTCACATATGGTTCAGTCCACTGAAAGATGAGAGTTGCTACTGAAGGTCTTTTTCTGTAATTATGTAACTGTAGATAACAGAAATAGGAGCTCAGCTTCCACCACAGAGTATACTATTTCGGTAATGTCATATCTATTGTGCAATGGTTAGGGTCTCTGCTGTCTTTGCGCACTTGAGATGTGAGTTCTTTTTGCCGCAGATACTTTTGCGTCTCCAACGACACAGTTTGGATCATTCCGGAGTCGGACTTCTACGCTGCCTGTCAGGGCCGACCTGGGCTGAAAGAGGAACAACATCCCAGTAGAAACACTGAGAAGCTCCATTAATAACTCTCCCCACTTGGGAATCGAACTCAGGTCTCCTGCGATGGACGGCGAAGCGCTTAACCGCTGTACCACTGACGCCGGTGACGTGAGTTCGTAACCACCCCCATCCTCCCTTCCCCCCACCCA